ATATATAATATCAGATGTCATTGCACCTGGTCATGGATTAAATTGCTCCCTCCACTTGCCAGATTCCACCATTTTGTGCTGCCTGGGGGGCAAAAAAATCCCCTTTTTTTTTTTTACAGTTTAACTTCTAGTCACTTGAATATCTTGCACCAAAAGTTTACTTGCATTCCCTGTTTAATTCCAGTTCATAAAAACGTGAAAACTACAAACATTCACTAGTTAAATCCTTCAGTGACGTAGGGCATCAGCATACCGCTTGTTCAAAGGTGAAGTTTCCTAAACCTACTTTTCATGGAGGTTTGAATTCTGTAAATAGTGATTTTGTCCCTAAAAACTTGAGAGTTATGCCAAACACATGTATGAACCGGTAATAAATTTGTTACTTAAATATGAAATTGATGACTGAGCAATCATAATTCTGGGGGGGGGGGGGGGGTCCAACTTGTGTTTTGCACTTGGCGCTATTTTTGCCATTCACATGTCAAAATGTTCAGCTCATTCAGGAGAAGAACGCTGCTTTTAGCTAGCTAGCCTTTTGCTTCTTATAAGTAACTAATGGCATTACTTTTGCCTTTTAGCCACAATTTTGCTTCTTTTAGCTAATGTTTTACTCCTTATTTTACTCCTCAAGTTCTGTTTCCTTTCAGCGTCAATAATTCAATTTCAGCTTTTTTAGCAAGCTTCAAAAGTCTTTCACACATTTTCACAGAAAATCACATTTCTGCAGTTTAGCTTATTAGTTTTTAGAAGCCGGCATGTCACATTAATATAATGCCTAAAGTTAAACCAAACCATTCAGTTTGAATAAATATAGCATGCAAATGAAGTAAATAATTTTATAAACTAAATTCAATTTAAAAACTACAGCGTCCATTTTTTTTACAAGTTCAATAAATTTAAAGCCGAGCATTTCATAAAGCAATGCATATCGCCCGCTACCTTTCTTTTCAGTTGTAAAATGAGATCATTTTATTTAGAGAAATTATTAAGTTTTTTAACCTTTTTAGAAAAAAAAAAACTGCATTGTGTTTGTTTATTTGTTTGTTTTTGTTTGTTTTGTAGGTATAAATTCAATGTTTGTCAGTGTTCCATTAAAATCTATACACCGGTTCATAAGAAATTTTGCTAACAGACAGACAAGCACAGATGCAGGCGATACCATTAATGCCTTTTTACACAAAGTGCAGCTCAAATATAAAATGTAATTCTGCAGTAAATTAATGGGCATCCAAATTAAAACTATCTATTTGAATAAAGACTTTTTGTCCAAATGAATCTAAAATAGTTTGAATGCACTTCTTTTTTCTTTTTTTTTTTGCTTATCCTTTTTTATCTTTTTTTTATTATATTTCCCTTTTGTTTTTCAATTATTGGTTGTTTTTCTCCTGTTTTCCCAGAGCTGTCTGTTTGTGAGGCCTACCTGCTGGAGCTCAGCCACCTGCTGCAGAACATGGAAGTTCTTCACCGCACCTACTCTGCTCCATCAATCCAAGCCCTCCAGGTCCGAGTCTGGTCCCTTTAACCTTTAGAACATATTTATATACAACGCCATCTTACCCACATTTTTACTGTAAATCACATCAAAAGCACCGGATGACTCCGATTTTATTCTGAGTCTCTCACTCCTCTTTAATCACTTACCTTCAAATCATCTGCGGCCAAATAAAAAACATTTATTTTGCACTTGCAGCAGCTGCAGCATATATTTTTTTTATTATGTTCACTAGGCATCTACATTTGACAGCCCCAAAAAGGAAAAACGACTTCAGAGGAAGTGGCGCCATAAGAACTACAATAAAGATGTCAAAACAACTCTGCAGGTGAATAAAATAACAGATGAACTGCAGCCATGCTTGATCATTTCTCATGAGTCTTTCTAAATCTGCCTTGGTTTTACCACAGGTCCCCAGCTGTATCTCCTCTGGCCCTGTCCGCCTGCATGCCTCCAACCCCAATCTGTCCACCGCAGCTCTTGGCAACAGAAAAACTGACCCAGAATCCCTGGATTCACAGTCTGACGTGACGAAGCTGCAGGAGCACTTCTGTCAAGTCGCCACCAGCTGTGAGTTAAAGCTGTCTGTTTATTTCACAGTTTGATAAGAGGTTGGGAGCTGACGTTAGAGTCTATAAATGCACATTATTTTATACATTTTAGTCCATTTCTTATTGAATCTGTCAGTTTTTGTCCAATATGATAGAACTGAGAGAAGTGGCAATGATACAACGACAGCTCTGATAAACTCTTTGGTCCAGTTTCCTTTCTGGTAGTTTGTCCTGAAAATAATACTCAGAATTTAGTGTGTGAGCTGTTGAAGTTTTCTAATCTACAAAAATGAAAGATTTGTGCTCAAAGACAAAGATTTTTTAATTATTTAGTCCTCATTGCATCTAAAAGAAATCCCATTTCAGCCACTGAATTAAAAAAAATCTTCTAAGTCATTATTATGAGACCCTAATTATGATTTAACATCTCATTATTATAAGATAAGTCATAATTATAGACTTCTAAATGATCATTTTGAGATAGCATCTTGGAACTAGAAAAATAATAATTTTCAGTGAGAATGGGATATAAGTCTTGAATATTATAGTTTAAATTTGTTAGAAAATATTACAATTTTAACATTAAAATCTTCAGAATATAACTAAAATTAGCTAAACAAAAAACAAAAGCTAAAATTACCAGAACTTTTGCTTAAAGCTAAAAATGACTTAAACTGTATATTGTAGTCAAACTACCAAACAGTATCATGTCATCTGGACTTCGTTTTTTGTTAAAAAGAAACGTTTCGCCCCTCATCCAAGAGGCTTCGTCAGTCTGAGGCCTAGCCATCTGGTATTACCCAGAAGCCACCCTGACTCTTGTGTTTCAAGCCTGCCTCAGATACCCCTG